ATATATATATACATATATATATATATGTGTGTGTGTGTGTGTGTGTGTGTATATATATATATATATATATACATATACACACACACTTTTACATTTTACTTTTTATAATATTTTATAAATGTATTCAATTAAAGGTGTCAACTGTATTTATTTATTTCTACATTTTATATTTTCTCTACTTTCTTTTTTTCCTTTCTTTCTTTTTTTCTGTACAATTTATTTACTTATTTTGGAATACCATGCATAAGATATCGCCGCTGCCTGACAGGTTTCACAGGTATAGAGGTGTTCTGAGAAATCACACCCGTTTCTGTAACCGCAAACAAGGGAGTGACCAGCCAACACAACCACACAGACCACATTTCACTTAGTCATCATCCGTAAGATGTGTTAATATTCACATGACCCAAGTGCATTCACAAGCAGAGCTTAACATAGTTGAAACAATGCAGCTCTATGTCCCTCTCAGTTTTAGGTTTACTGAAGCTGCCGTTCTCACACTGGTGTCGCCTTTACCAGAGCTGCGCTTTTATTAAGCTTCTTCCTTTTTACTTACCTTCCTTTACTTACCTTCTCCCTCCTTTAACAGCTGAGGTTAAGACAGTCGTTTGGGAAACTGGTCTGTGCAGAAGTGTGACTTCTACCCAACAAACCGCTGGTGTATTTAAAGCTCACTGTGGAGCAGCATGGGAAAGTTGCCAGCTCAGCACAAACGTCGCTCCCAAAGGTTGCATTTTTTTTGGCTAAAGGTTCCAGTGGCTTTGGTTACAAAAATCGGGTGGTGCGTGTATAGTAGCAGCACGTGCTTTCAGATGGAGCGGCATTTACTACACAGAGCCGTAGATCACTGACAAGCTACACAAAATCGCGTTTAAAATTGCAGGCGATTCATTGCCGATTCTGAACACGATTTTGTGTAGCTTGTCAGTGAACTACGGCTCTGTGTAGTAAATGCTGCTCCATCTGAAAGCACGTGCTGGAGATTAACTACTAATCACCAGAAGCGGCTTTACTGACGAGATTCGCATGAAAATCGCATTCGATTTTTTGCACAGCCCTAGTACACGTGTACTATTCTGGTGACGAAATTTGCGTCACGCGCACTAAACGCGTAAAAACCGAAGTATACTTTGACCCCTTACTATCTTAATTTTCAAACATTAAAAAAAACATCAGACATTTATTTTGATGGAGCCCATAAAGCTTCTCTTTTGTTGATAAACACTTCTCATTCCAAGATGGTTGTCGCATGTTACGTTCCCAAATGCACGTTAACGCAACCGAAGCTCAGCAGTTTGTGTGGAGCAGCATTTATTGTGAATCGAGTCTCTCTGAGAAACTGAAAACACTGGATCATGAGCTGCTCGTGTGTAAAAGAACACAGCGTCGCGTATGTAATCGTTTTTATGATGCATCGCAATGCTGATGTGAACGATTCGGCTTGGATGCAGGGCTAAAACAATGTAAATTGCTGTGTATAATTGCCACATGATCCTGCCGTTCTTCTTTAGGTATCGGCTCTACTTATTTCCATGCGACGCTGAGCTTCCTGGGGCAGATGCTGGATGAGCTGGCTATACTGTGGGTGCTCATGTGTGCCATCGGCATGTGGTTTCCCAAGAGATATCTGCCCAAGATATTCCGCAGAGACAGGTGCGCTCGCATATCTACACGCAAACACATTCAGATCAAAGTGTACTTGAAGATGCACAACATTCTGCACTACTTTTCTCTTGTTTACTCCTTTCGTCTTCCCCTGTTTCCTTCCCATGTCACTAGATCGAGGTTTCAAATGGTCATCGGCGTCCTGTCAGGGATCACCACCTGTCTGGCCTTCATCAAGCCAGCGATAAACTCAATCTCTCTCATGGCGCTGGGCATCCCGTGCACCGCTCTTCTCATCACAGAGCTAAAGAGGTCAGAGCTCCTGTACAAACACACACACACAGATCAGTCCTCTAGTGCTTTCCATGTTATCGCATTACATATTTATTCCTGTGCGTGTTCGATTTAAATCACAGTGACAGCTTCCTCTATACAGATGCCTCGCTTTATATGTTGATGTCCCTGTAATCTAAATGTGATGTTGTGTATAGGAAAGCATGTGTTTTCCAACTTCAAGGTAGATAAAACTATCTGTTTATATCATGTTTTGTGCGGCTTGATGAGGAGAAGTGTGCTTGTGAAAAGTGCACTTTAGCATTGTTTTAAAAAGAGTACTTGTTATGGAAAAAATATTATTTTAAAAGAATATAATTAAGTGCAGACTGAATGTAATGTTTTCAGACACTGAATTGCATGTTAATTGCAACTAGATAAAAAAGTTAGGTTGGCTTGAGAAAGCCTAGCCCGAAAGTTTAAAGCAGTTGTAAAAGCCTGAAGTTTGAAAAGTTAGATAGATTAGATAGAGCATGATTAGCAAGTAACTAGCATGTTGTTAGCATGATTACCAAGTTACTACCCTGTTGTTAGCATGATTAACAAGTGACTAGCATTTTGCTAGCATGATTAGCAAATAACTAGCATGTTGTTAGCATCATTAGCAAGTGACTAGCATGTTTCTAGCATGATTAGCAAGATACTAGCATGTTTCGAGCATGATTAGCATTCTACTAGCATGATTAGCAAGTAACTAGAATGTTGCTAGCATGATTACCAAGTTACTAGCATTTTGCTAACATGTTTCTAGCATGATTAACAAGTTACTAGCATGTTGCTAGCATGATTAGCAAGTTACTAGCATGTCGCTAGCATGATTAACACGATACTAGCATGTTGTTAACATGATTAGCAAGTAACTAGCATGTTTCTAGCATGATTAGCAAGTTACTAGCATGTCGCTAGCATGATTAACACGATACTAGCATGTTGTTAACATGATTAGCAAGTAACTAGCATGTTTCTAGCATGATTAGCATGTTACTAGCATGTTGCTAACATGATTAGCAAGTAACATTGAAATATGGTAAGACACGCTTGCAATATCAAGCAGCAAAACAGCTAAAAATAGCTGGAAGCGGATGACACCGGAAGCCAGACACAGTACATTTACAAATGGCCGCGTCCACTCCTACGGGACAAATAAGGTGGATAGACATGCATTAAAGGAGTCCACTGAACTTAGCCTTTCTCTTAAGAATCTCTCGTAATAGTTTTAAGTCTTGAAGACGAGTAAAGTAAACTAAAGAGACTGTGTGTGTGTTCGTCCTAAAACACAACACTACTCTCATACTTTTTGTGCTCAATGAGAGTCAAAGGGACATTTGTTCTTAAGCACACATGCTTGAAATCCTCTGGCGTCAGGAAATGAGCGAGATGTGCTTAGACTTCATCTGTTTGCTCCGTAGATGAAGAAACAGGCTTATCAGTGGCTTCCTGAGAACCAGATGCGCTGTTGTGGTTTTCCTGATAGCTCGTCTCTCTGCGTTCAGACCAGTTAGATCTTACTGCGAACCACGGATCAGTTTGTAGCTTCAGAGATTCTCTTCATTTCCCTTGTATCTTATGCTCTTTGTTTTGGCCTCCATGTGTCCTCCTGCTTATAGATTACTTGGAAAAAATGCTTATTAATATCAAGAAACTTACAGGAAGCAGAACAACAGGACATTTCCATGCAGTAATGATGTGTAAAAATTCGTAATTGCAAATATATTTAAATACATTATGCAAGTCTCAATAGAAATAGTATATTTTAGTTTAGATTAAATGCTTGCCAGTACATTCATGCAGTAATTTAACCATATATTTAACCAAGACAATAGTAATAGACAATAGAGTAATTGTGTAAATTACATATAAATATGTCTTACTTAAGTGGGTCAGAAACACTCTTAAAGGGTTAGTTCACCCCAAAATGAAAATTAGGCTGCGTTTTACTCACCCCCCGATGCATCCTAGGTGTATATGACTTTCTTCTTTCAGACGAATCCAGTCGGAGTTATATTAAAAATTGTCTTTGATCTTTCAAGCTGTTTAATGGCACTCAGCGGGTGTTGCATGCTTCAGTCCAAAAGACGTGAAATAAAAAGCGCCCATCCATAAAAAAAAGTGTCTCACACGGCTCTGGGGGGTGAACAAAGGCCTCCTGTAGCGAATCGATGCATTTTTGTAAGAAAAATAAACATATTTAAAATGTAATAATCAATTTAATCTAGCTTGCACTCACTGTTGTACACTGGA